AGTTACAGTCCATCTGATGGAAAGTAAGGGATCAGTCTCTTTTTAGGGAATGATTTTGCTCTATTTTCCAAACAAGTATAATTCACACTACCCAAATAGTATTTTCTAAACATACACAATTGCTCAACTGTCAATAAGGGTAAGATTCTATGTTCAAATGGGCAAAATCTTCTGAGCTGATGGAAAAACGCATGTTTTCAGAAATCCACTCCAGTCGAACTGTCTTCACAAAATACTAAATTCCCTTCAGTGAATCCCTGTCAGGGAGATATTTGTTCCATCATCTTTCATAATTATCTTCCCTCACAAGCTACGTCTACACAACGTCAAACATCCAGGTGACACAAGAAAACGGCAATCACCAAACTGTTTTCACATCGCTGCATGCTGATGTGGATTGGTTAAAACGTCTGTCTCACTGTGTTAACTCACTTAAGTTTTACTTTGTCACCTGGATTCTGCCAGTATCTGCATACAATTGGAATACCTGTGACTTGATGAGAAGAGAAAGGAAATTAATTTCTCCTTTATCTCACATAAAAAAAAAAGAGTACTATTGTCTTTGGATGTTCTAAGGCACTCTCCCAAGAAATGAATTTTAATGCTTTCTTGATAATTAACTTCTGTAACTCACATAGGATGGTGGAAATTCATTTCACAACTGAGGCTGAAAAAGACAAAGCTTAGGAATAAAGCAGAGCAGAATAATTCTCTGCTCTTTGAAAAAAAATTGTATTCCCTCTAAATTCCCTTTTATTAAAGCCATACTCAGTCCTGGCAGAGATGATGGTCCCTTGGTCTTATTCCTTAAGCGGACCCCTGCACAATCGCAGTAAATAATTATGTTCTAGACAGGAAACATGTATTATGCACGGGGCTGACATTTATATTAGACCCCATGTGCACATGCAATTTCGCTGATACATTCTGGTTCCCTTTTTGACAATTAATATGTTCCATGAATATGGGACTAGAGAGAGGTTACATGTGCAGGATACGAGGGTAAAGCACTCTACGTGGATGAATGCCTTAACCTCCTGGCACTTCTCAATCAGACCCAGAAGGAAATGGGAGGCACAGACAAGCCAAGGGAGCTGCCTACGAGTCCATCGGCTGGTAAGGGGAGAAGATGGCATTTTTAACCCAAGCAGTCATGTTCTTAGAGCTATTCTTATAAGCTCAGCAGGAGGAGGGAACCAAATTTACATTAAAAAGCTTGGAAAAAACAAAACAAAACAAAAAATAGCACAAAGAGTTACTCTGCCGAGAACAGATCAGATCCTGAGGTCCAGAGAGGAAGAGTGGGGAGCCCAAAATATTTAGCTAGCGTAGGTGCAAATAGGACAAGAAGCCATTGAGAGGTGTAGCTGACATTGTGGGTGATATTTAAGACCTAACAGGACAACTTCAATGTTTTGCTGTAGGTCCTCCGTGGACACTGACTCTGGAAATTTGTTTTAGGTGCCTGGGTAAATTTAAATGTCCCTTTATTACATCCCTACGTAAAATCACCGTATTTCCTAAATATGGCATTTAGCAGGATTTGCCCTGACGCTGTAATAACCCAGTGGACAAAAAGGTTGGATGCATGCGCTATATCTTAATGCCTCAAATCTGCAAAGTGTCTGCCCACAAACTGGGGCTAGTATTGTCTTCTTGCTACCCATGTGGGAAGCAGCACATTTTAACCACCCAGCATTAAGATAAAAGCGTTTTTCTATCAATAATACTTGAGGTTGAAAGGGAAACAAATAAGAGTCTCAGAAAGGGTAGGGGTTAGGAAGGCCCACAACAATATAAATTTTTCAGCGATTACTTTGTTTTCAATTAGGGTAGGGACTTGACTGTGCATTTCAAATAGGATTCTAACCCACCCCACAAATGTCGCCGCTTCCCAAAGCAGACAACGTGTGCTACCTTACAGTTTTGTAGCTCAGAGTTGCATGGGGCTAAAATCAACGTGGCAAGCGTGGTTGGGCATCTTTCTGGGGCCCTCGGGGAGAATCCATTTCCTGGTCTTTTCTAGCGTCTAGAAGCGGCCCACAGTCCTTGCCTCCTGGTATCCTCCAAGCCAGGAAGGCTAGATGTTTCTTTATTGTTGCTCACGAGCTCTGATGATTTGTGTCTCCCTGTTCCCTAATCGAGGGTCTTTGCTCTTAAATACTGGGCCCACCCAGGTAATCCAACATATGCTCCCTTTATCGTCAAGTCAACTGATGAGCAAATATAATTCCACCTGCAAGCTAAATTCATTCCCCTTTGCCATGGAAGGTCACAGAGTCACGGGTTCCAGGGATTAGGATGGAGACACCTTGGGAGAGTCCATGTTCTGCCTCCAAGTAGACACTTGTCCCAAAATTAGGAATTCTTGTGTCTTTTGCAACCATTAACATCTAAAGCCTGCCCGGCACATAGTAGATACTCAGAACTGTTTTTGGCAGTGAAGTCAATTTGTACCTGGTCATCACCTGCACTATCTGGGTGATGCAGAGAGATCAATCTAAAAAACTGAGGTATCAGAGTGGAATTTTTAATTCCGAATATCCAGTACTGCTGTCTACACTGTTAAATCAATGCATTGATATGATAAGATTGCCCATAAAGGGAGGCCTTTGGAAGAATCAGCACGATGCCATAATTTCCATGTGTTATTAAGGACGGGGAGTTCATTCATTCAGTGAATAGCCAATAATTAAATATCTAAAGCTCCACATTGATTCTCAAATGGATGCAAATATTAAAAAAGAAAGAAAGAAAGAAAAGAAACTAGAAAACTCCTGACCCAACAGGCTGTGATTTGTTGTTTGTACAAAATGCCAGTATTTATATATTGTAGGAAAACAGATTCTACATTTTTCAGCCGCTACTGGATTTCTGATTCTCTTGTCAAGATTGTGCGAGGTACTGCAGGCAAACATTCTCTGAGAATCTGGAAAACGTAAAGAGGTGGCCCCAGGTTTATTCTTAAGGTGCGATGGCTTTTCTGTGGGGTAGCATTTTTCGCATTTTTATACGCCCAAATTCCTATTCAGTACTAAACCACAGTGAAATGGCCCAATTGTTTATGGTTTCGAGTCACACAACTGCACATCCACGGTGGTTCTGTAATCAGGGAGGTTCCTGATTTTTCTCCGGGAGCAGAGCCCACGAAGTCGCCGGCTCTTAGACACCCGCAAGGCAACTGTATTGGGAGAGCGATTTGAATCATTTATCCTGCTTTATTCTCCCCGTCTCCTTTTCTGCCTTCCCTTCTTTTTGCTTTTTATTTGCATAGTTGACGACGAAAAAGACCACGCGCCAGTTGACTTTAGAAGTGAGGCGTGTCATTGGGTTTTGGGTGCAGTGAGCTTTGCCCATGCTTATGCACAAGGCACTCACTGAGGCAGGTCCGAGCACTGCATGCAAACATGGCATCCAAGTGTCACTCTAACCCGTGAATGTCGCATTCAGACCTAGACTTTGCAAGGTAATTGTGTGATCTCTTCCCATGATGAAGAGGGCCCCATGCACCAGAGACTGCGAATATAATAAAGCACCATCTTCCCATTTCTTTCTCTGGGTGTTCTCTGTGATCTCGATAACACAACCCTGGCCTGGCATTTCAAGACACCCTATGTGAGCTACCCTGTAGCATTTATGTGCAGAAAGCACAATATGGCGGGTCCAGGACAACTTTGGAGATCGTGGATAATGTAATCCTCTCTTTCAGACCTTCAGCCAAATCTCAACTGAAAATCATTCTCCGAATATTCAAGGGAAAGAAAAATGGAATTTCTCCCCTAAAAGTTGCAAAGGACACACTGCAGTTTCTACAGTAGATGATGTCTCTGATTCTGTAAATTACTTCTTTTAGTTCCAGGAAGATTTATGTTCCAGGCTTTTCTTGCTCCTTGTCTAAAATAGCACATGCAAATGGTAAATGAGGAATGTGTTCACATTGTGGTGTAACTTTAGTCTGGTTAGCCTTTCTAAAAAAATGTTTTTAATATGAAACCTACACAGAGAAGGAGATAATTGAATTTTACTACCATTGGATTAAATTAATAAATCAAACATCATTGTTTTTTACAGATTTTCACTGCTGTGTTATTGAAAACAAAGGAGCCATTTTGTTCAAGCAAGCACATTATTTCCTAGCATAGCTAGAATCATCTAAGGACACTCGTCTGCCATTTGATTGCTGTGAATATTGGGAGGAAACAAGGTGCAAATTGATGCTAGCAACACAGTTTCTAAACAAAGAAATCCAACCATTTATGAAATATCCCTTGCTTCTGTATTTAAAACAATCTGTGGTTTTCCTTTCAAGCCTCAATAGAAAGAAAAGAAGAAAGAAAGAAAGAAAGAAAGAAAGAAAGAAAGAAAGAAGAAAGAAAGAAGAAAGAAAGAAAGAAAGAAAGAAAGAAGAAAGAAAGAAAGAAAGAAAGAAAGAAAGAAAGAAAGAAAGAAAGAAAGAAAGAAAGAAAGAGAAAGAAAGAAAGAAAAAGAAAAAGAGAGAGAAAGAGAGAGAGAAAGAAAGGGAGAAGGAAAGAAGGAAGGAAGGAAGGAAGGAAGGGAGGGAGGGAGAGCTAAAATCTTAAGGCATTAAAGCAAAAGAAACCATGCCTTATAATCTTCAGTTTGCTAACTCGAGCATGATAATGTTCTTAATTCTATTGTTTTCTCTAGATTTCATTTTCCTTTATAGATGATGCAGGTATACTATATAACTGTGTATGCTCAGACTGGTGACCAACTTCAAAGAAACCCTGTTACCATGCTGAAAAGGCAATACATGATAATAATTAAGTCATTAATTATAGCATTGTCCATTTCCTAGATGCTCAATAAATACAAGTGTCATGATTTATAAGGTAGGGCAATAGCTACATTCAGAATATGAAAAAGAAAATAACTGGGTTATAGGAAAAAAATCATGCACAAGATATTCTAAATGCCTCTTGGCCAATCTGACACCCGAGTGAGCAGGTGCTGTTTTCTGTTCTCAATAAAGTACTTACCATCTTCGGTGGGCACGTAGATATTTAGGTAAAGGCAGTCTTCGTTTTGATCTTGAACATAGGTCATTAAAGTATCCAAATTGGCAGTAAACCAGATGGGCAGCATATCGTGCAATAAAGACCTCTCATCTAGGTGTTGGGGGCACACAGCCGCGAACTGGGTGGCATTTCGAACGCCAGTCCATGAGGATGGGGGTTCTGGGGGCTGAAACCGCCTCTCTCCAGTGGGAGGTGAGGCATAGGGGACCCCCAAGTATTGCTCCACGGGACCCAAAATCTCATTGGGCAATGGTGTTCTTAGGCCCCGAATTTTGCCATAATTTGTGTTGACGACTGGATACTGTGCTTGGCTGTCAATGAGCGTGAAGCGAATGGCAAGAGCGGTTATCCACAGGAGAACGTTGGAGTTCAACATGACGCAGACCGGGGTGAAGAACAGTGGCAGCCATAACAGTCCCTTGGGTCTCGACATTGTTCACTGCCACATCCGTGGGGGTCTGTGTGATGCAATTCCAAGCAAGCAAAGCCGGGAAGCGAGCCTGCAGACAGAGAGGGCTTTCCAGGGAGCAGAAGACCCAGGAGAGGAGCCTCCGAGATGGGTCATAGACAGAGCCCAAGGTTAAGGACACACCCAGCTGTCTTCTCGGCAGCCCATTGCGGGAGAGAGCAGCCCTCTCTTAATCCTGGAAGGGAATTCCAGCAGGTGTGAGGCTCCAAGGACACAGTGACCATCCGACACCTCCCAAGGACAAGGATTCCTTACGAAAACTCCAAGGCAGAGCAGTCCGCCTAATGGGGAAAGAAAGCAGATGAGAATAATGAAGCCAAGGGAAGCCGAGCAACCCACAGGTCTTCCCTGCAACACTCAACATCACTCGATGAAATGCTCATTCACTGATGAATCTGTCCACCCACATCTCCATGGAGAAGAATCTAGCAAGAACATGACTTGCCTTAATTCTTGCTGGGCACCCCATGATATGGAACGATGCACAGCATTTAGAAAATATTCAACAAGTCTCCGTTGAGTCAACACACAAATCCCCAAAAGTTACACATCTCGTTCAGAAGACTGTAACGATGTCTCCCAATTTCACTATTTACAAAGACTGGTCAGTCAGTGGATAGGTAGCCCCAAAACAGTGTTTCTCAAATGTCTAAGGAAACTGCCACATCTCCCTAAGGGGAGATGCATGCAGCCTATCAACGGTTTTCGGTATGAGAGTAGGAGAAATGTGGGACAGGGCTTTATGTCATGTGGATATTTATCAGATACGCAAACGGAGCATGACCTAACGGGAAGAGCGTAGGCTCTGGATTCTAACCCTTCTCAGGCTATTCCGTGGCGTATACCATGAGGGTACACACATCATCACCCTAGAACTCTGCTCCTCGTAAAAACTGAGCAAGATGGAACAATTCACGCATAGGCTGTAGTATGTGCCGTCATAACTAAAAGTGTCGATACGGCCATCCCGATTTTCACATAAAGCCATCCACGGCAAACCTTTCACCTCACAACCCATTTTATTTATTTTTGTTTGTTTGTGCAGCCCATTTAAACTTTTTTTAAGATTTTATTTACTTATTTGAGAGAGAGAGGCAGGCTCCCCGCTGAGCTGGGAGCCCGATGAGGGGCTCGATCCCAGGACTCCGAGATCATGACCTGAGCTGAAGGCAGACGCTTAACCGACTGAGCCACCCAGGCGCCCCAAGTAGCCCATTTTGAAAGCTGATGGTACATTTGAGCTACCCTTCGTTGAGCGGGATCTCCCAGAATTGTCTGGATGTAGAACCTATGACTCCCACTAGATAAAGCATTCCTCTTATGACAATACAGAACGTTGGGCCTGACTGGGAGAGGATTGTAAATGACCCATTAGGGAAAGAAAACATTACATTAGGTGTTGCAAGCACTATAGCTTTAAATAGAGCGTTCTTCAACTCAAAAACAGACACACGCATCTGGAAAGATGTCGTGGGTGATTCAGAGTATTTCTGGACTAGAGGATAATGATGCATTTAAGTGGACAGTTGAGCACTTATTGACTAATATGTCAATAAGCTCTTTTTTTTTTTTTTTTTTTTAGGGAAAGCTACTGGAGCTAGATCTGTCATGGAGCTACACCACCTCTGGAGGAAATTCCATAGTCGCTGACACCCTGGGCCAAGTTCATCACAGCTGAATGAAAATACACTCCGAGTCTGGGTTGTACCATTGAAAGTGAAAAATAGCATCACACCAAATCGTGGATGTATGTGTTTGCTTCTATCTTTGAATTCTGCCATGGACAACATTTGGATTTCTGCCACACAGTGATCCAACTTCTGAATAATTAGGAGGCAGACAAGAACAAGGAAAGAGGTGATGACATGTTTGGAATCTTTTGTTTTCCTGAAAGCCCTTCTGATTTTGAATCAGTATTAGCTGCTCCTTCTGGAGCCTTCCTGGTGATAAAAGGAGACACCACTAATTTGTGACTCTGGAGGACTTGGGTCCTCGAATGCTAAGTCTGTGAGATGAGGAAAGTGAGCCGAGCTGCCTGGGATTTAGGTAAACGCTCTATCGTACCTTCTTCATGGGGTCTGGTGAGCAGGAATGAGGCACTACGCAAAGGTGTAGGGCAGAGACAATGACCACTCAATAAACACAAAATGCTAGGATTCTGACCACAGGCGTGCTTGAAAGAATCCTGTGTACAGAGACAAAATGCACAGGCTGTGAAGTCAGCCCAGGGTTGGTGCTGAGCAAGTGTAGAGCAAGGACTTTAAAATCTTTGAGCTTCCCTTTCCTGATCTGTTTATCACTGTCTGAGAATGAAATGAGAAGGTGCACATGAGGCAGCACATCATCCCTGGAATGCAGAGCTCAGCAGAGGTGGGACTCGGTGGGTATGTGTCAGCACTTACAAAGTTAGTTCCATTGGGAAATTCTGGCCCCCTCCACACTTCTCCAACTCAATGTGGATGAGACTTTCTACGAGCCACATATGCATTACAAGTAGGGTCAGGTCTAGACTTCATGCTGAGTCCAAGGATCAAGTCTCTCCTCTGCCCAAATTTACCTCCCCTGCCCTCCAAGAGGGTTTTGAGGGCCAGACCAGCAGAACCTAGGAGAAGGTACCCAGGGGGATGTGAGCACTTTCTACGTAATGTACACACATTCAGGGCTACCTTATTTCCTCGCTTTTTTGAAATTTGGCTAATTTGCATACAAGTCGTACAATCTGAAACCCACGGTTTCTGAACCTCGGCACCGTTGACGTTGTGGACCATATAGTTCTTTCTGGTGGGTGCCGTCCTGTGCCCTGTAGGGGGTGGGGCAGCCTCCCTGGTCTCTGGCTAGTAGATACCAGTAACACCTCCCCACCCAATTTTCACCATCAAAAATGTCTCCAGACATTGCTAAATGAGCCCTGGGGGCAGCATCCCCACAGAGTGAGAACCAGAGATCTGAGTCATCCAGTTTGGAATTCTGGTGGCCATGTAAATGATTAAGTATCTGTGGGTACAACTAAAGATTATGATGTGTGTGTGTATAAGTCACACATTCAAGTATTGGTCAACTTTAAAAGTTTTAACATTACAAGTCATAAAGAATTTTAATATAAATCTATTAAATATGCCTCATGATCATTAAAAAAAAAACCTATACATTTAACCAACCAATACATCTGGGGACAAAAAAATAAAAGTCCTCCCATGTAAACCTCACACACTGCAAAGTATTTCTCAAGGGGTGAAATGTGGTTATATATGCATATAAACATATAGATTTAGTATATAGTATATATTACATATACTTATATACATACATCTGTTTCATATATTGTTTTTTTTTATTTTTCCCAAAATAAAAAAGCCACACTAGAAAAGGAATTAGCCAAATAAAAAATTTTAATGAAAAAAAAGTAAAAAATCATAGTTTCATTGAATACATACAATTTGAAAGTGAAGAAGGGCTTTCTAGCACGCTTTCTCTGCAAAGGTTGCAAAAAGAGGAATATTTCAGACTGGCATTTTGATGTGATTTATACCTTGGTTGGGTATTTTAGGATGATTCTCTACAGGGCGGTCATCCTGCCTGAGATTGTAATTAAGACAAGGCTCAAACTATGCAAGCATATCAGAATACAAATGGGTCAAAATAAAAGTCACAATGCATTTCTCCCCAAAGTGTCCACCCCTTGAATAGAGATTGGTTTCATGTTAAGGCCCAGACCAAACGTATTTTGGTATATTTTGAACCAACAAGGAATGAAATCATGTCTCCCCGGCATTCAAGACCTTTCCTTTCCAGGCCGTGAAAAATACATTAGAGGACAGAGAACTCTGTGGATGCATCTTCAAAAACCCAACCTCCTGTCCCACAAAAAAGGGAGGGAGGATGAATGAGCTGGAAGCAGCCCTGCTCCGTCCTGCTCTAAGCTACATGGAAGGCCTGAGACTCACGGACAGATCCGTTGCCAGGAGGCACTATGAAGACTCACTTTCATCCAGTGTTTACGAAGCATCAGGAATAAGAACCGCAGACTCTGGTCCCTGCCCAAATTAATGAGCTGGTACAATCATCTTCCTATACTGTTCACTCTGAAAGCCTATGACAGCCATTCTTCAAACTGCATGCAACCTATAGACATCGCTGGGGTCCCTCCCTTTTGTTTCTGGGGAGGACACCAACATTTTCCAGTGCCCGAGTGGGGTGCAGTTCATCTTTTGTCCTACAAGATAGAGCTCGGCCATGAGGTAGCCCAGGGAACGTGTTACCTAGAGGTACAACGTCCACTTTGTGCATGGGCTTACCACACACACACACACACACACACACGCGCGCACGCACACCCTCACACACCCCTGTCAATCCCTACCAAGATTCACTCAATGCCAGCCATCAGCCAACTAGTATATTATTTGCATATATTTATATTCTGGTCTTATCTCCTAGGGGAGCAAGGTTACAATCTGTCAATAGTCTTTTGTCAAATGTTACAGCTCATTGCCCCTTGATCTCTGCACTTGCTTTCAGTTGTGAAAATCAGATCCCATACAAGCCCACCATGTTGAACCATGAAGCTAAGATGTAAATAAAGTAATTGGAGAGGAAAATAAAGATGCCAAGGTGGCAAGTTGATCTTCAAGGTGGTTTTGTGCCCCACTATAGCTTCAGAGCAACAGCTCCATCACCTGCCCGCCCTACTTCTGTTCTTCCGCGGAAGCGTAATGGGTCAGGAACACATGTGAGCCACGGTGGAAGGATCTGGAGTTTGCAGCAAGAGGATATGCAGAACACAGACCAAACCCAGGACAAAGAGATAGTGGCTTCTATAGGGTCCAGTCAAAACTGGCTGGATAGAAAGACATTCAATAGTATGTAGCCCAAAAGTAGGATTCGGAATAAGATATGGATTTTTCTAGAAGAACTATATAGACAAGAGGACCTACAATGGCCACAGAAATAAAGCGACACCAAAA